ACAGAATTAGTTGTGCACGGCTTTGTATCAAAATGGAATAAATACAATAATCGCAAGGAATTAAAAGTTATTTCCAGAGATTTCTCTTGGCCACTTTTACTAAGAAATTTTTTTTTCTCATAAATTTATAACATACATAGTTTCTGATATATAGTCGAGAGATCGGCTTATTGGACCACCCGCTACATAAAGATGGGACTGAGTGGTCAAGGTTGCCAAGACATTCTAAGCGTCTATATTCTTTAGTACAACGGAAATGCAAAACATAAATAATGACAGTGTAAACCATTCTTAGAAGGTGTCGCATCGAACGAGCGGCCAGTATATGCATTCACTGATGCATTCATTATTACCTAGACATTTCTAGCAAAGTCCTTTTACCCAAAAATGTATTCTTCAATGACGTGGTACCTATTTAAACGTGTTAATGCAATTATATTCTTGATAAGCGTTATGTCAATATATTTATATATAAATATCAAAAAAGAACTAAAAGTAAAGGTAACATCTAATAACTTATTGTATTAGGTATTAGTATATACTTAAACAGCCGAGTCAAGTGTTTTTACTCAACAATATATTATTCAGTAAAGTGGTAAGTTATTTAAACGTTTTGATGCATTTTGTACTAAAATAATACCACACGCCACAGTCTAACATGTTATTATCAACAATTTATCGATAAAATGCAACGTGAACCAGATTTTTTATAGATGTCGATGTTTAATTTCTTAATGATTTTACTCGATCGTGAAACGAAGGCCTTAGAATTTTTATAAACACGCGAAGTCAAGGGCATATAATGCATGCTAGTCATTTCATGCGATATGCGAATTGTTATAACGGCCTTTGTGTATTGCAATTTGCAGTATTGATCTTTTTGAAAAATTATGTATACAATGCGAAGTTAATTGAATGTTTGAATTATAAAGTAGTGGTGTTAAATAATATGGTAGCGACAAATTTCGATCGAGACTATTAACATAAACAAATAACGAAGAATAATTTTATTATATTCTTTCTGTTCCAGTTCTAGTCATTTTAGGAAGTTAAGATAGTTCTAGTTAATCTGTGGTAGTAGTCATTACCATTAATATTATTAAATATACAAGCTCACATAAAAATAAAAGAAAAAAGAGTCTATTCCAACAATTTTTAATTAAATTCCTTTTAGAAAACTGATAATGTATCTTACTGCCATTTATGTAGAGAAATATACAAATATTAGTGCAAAATAAAAGAAAATTATACATTACATTGTTTATATATGGTAGTGGTAAGTATTTACTGATAAAATAAACACCATAACACTCAAATTATTCATAATAAGAAAATAAACATTACTTTACAAGCCTAATTAAGAATTAGATCCATACTCATAATCACTGTTGTCGGCATCTTTATTTGGGTTGTAAATGATAACTGGATTAGTTGGGTTCTTCGTATCGTTTAGTTATTGTAACGTTATAAACGTCATATCTTTATTAATTTATATTTAAATAATTATTTTATTTTAATTTCTTTATTAGTTTATTAATTCCTTTAGCTTCAGTTTCTTTTTTACTATTTTTTCTTCAAAACGTATCCCAGCCATGGGCAAATCTCTATAGAATTAAACATACCCACAAATACTGTCTTAAGGATTTTAAAACGCTACTGGTTGGTTTTTCATATTATAAAGTGAACGTTTAGGTCAGAAACTTGGAATTCCCGTTAAACTTTAAATTTAACTGTTATTTTAATATTTCATAGCGCATATAAAACAGCGCATTATAAACGCAATAAATAGTATATCAACAGCTGAGATTGAATCAGCTGTTATGTCTACGCGCGAAAGATTACATCTTTGTGTGAAAAACAATTAAAAACAATTTGAACATTTAATTGGACATTAAGTTTTAATGATCGAGATATTTGTATGATCTTTCACATATTTAGTTTTAAGTTATAATAAAGGGTGAGTCAAAATACTATACTCACTTAGATTAATGCGTTTTATTCATTTCTCGAGTTCGACAAACGCTATCAACATGCGGTTTACGCCATTTTGTTACGAATTTAATCCAGTTCTATTACAATTTACAATAAATAGGTGTTTCTATTAAACATTTTGAAGAAAATCAAATTTTAATTTTTTCTATTCGAAAGTATCCCCTTTCCATGACAATTAAAACTAAATGCAGTTGGTTTATAGTAGATGTAAATTAAATCATCCACACTCTTTCTAATGATACTAATTTCGTTAAAATCGGTTGATTCATACCAAAGTTATAGGTATTTATCCACAAATATTTTCCCACGCTCCTCCACCCTTTATTTGAAAAAATAATAAAAAAGAACTTTGTGCGGCATTAAGGCCTCTTTCTAGTTTACTTATTTAATACTTGGTATAATAGGGCATATTTCACAAACAATTAGTTTTCAAATTTTTCTTTAGAGGTTACGATCCCTAGCGGTTAACCTAGAAAGTTTAAAGATATTTCCAGCGATTTCTCTTGGCCAGTTTTATCAAGGAATTTTTTCTCCTAAAGTTATAACATAAAGAGTTTCTAATATATAGCCGAGATATCGGCTTATTGGACCATCCAGTACATAATATACTGGTAAGCCTACGGAGTCACTAACTGTTGGGTCATTTTGATCTATGCTTTGATTAATAATAAGGTCATTTTCTTTTTCTACCTCTGTTATATTATCTTCATTTTCTAAATCACTTGCTGTATCCTCATTGATATCAAGCCCTGGATCATTATAGATATAAATGTAACTCATGTTCAAAATGTTATGCAATATTCACAAATACGACAAGAAACCAACTGACACTGGAACTCAATATATTTGAAGTTTAAATTTAATCTAACCGTTAAATGTTCTTGTAGGCATAATTTTTCATCAAAACCATATAAACTACAGATAGATGAAAGACTGCCTTTAAAAATTAAGATCCATAAAGTAACAGCCAAAAATTGTGATCTGGGGTCAAAATAGACACCGGCCAGTCCGACGAAGGTTGAATACGTCGTATTTGAATATATATTTTTTAATTTTTATTTTATTCTCTCCCTTTCTAACATCCTAATTGGTTACATTGGTTACAACTCGACCTGTGAGCAATTTGGTATGAAAATAAACATTAAAAAAACCAAAGTGATGTCAATCCGAAAAAACCAAAACGTACCTCAACCTTGCACAATAAATGGACACATCTTAGAACAGGTCAATAGATTTAAGTACCTGGGATGTTGGATCGATAGCAGCCTAAATCCTGATCAAGAAATAAGATCAAGAATAGAACAGGCTAGAAAATCTTTCGAAAAAATAAAAAAAAACTGCTTTGTGATTCTCGAATAAAACTCGAAATTCGACTACGTTTATCAAAATGCTACGTCTGGTCGACTCTTCTATATGCAGTTGAAACGTGGACCCTTAAAACATCAACCGTAAATAAATTTGGAGGCCTTTGAAATGTGGATCTACCGGAGAATACTCAAAATTTCATGGACATCGCATACCTCAAACGAAGAAGTGCTGCATAGAATAGGCAAGGAAAGAGAACTTTTTAACACAGTAAAAGTAAGAAAAACATCATAGCTAGGCCACATACTGAGAAATAATAAGTACCAATATGCCCAACTTATAGTGAAAGGAAAAATCGAGGGAAAGAGAGGCCTAGGAAGGAAAAGACTATCATGGCTCAGAAACATCCGACAATGGACAGGGCTAAATTTTGAACAGCTAATAACAACAGCTGAAGATAGAGAAGAGTTTAAAATTGTAGTAGCCAACCTCCATTGAGGAGAGGACACTTTAAGAAGAAGAATTGGTTACATTGTTTCGATTTACCATATCGCACCGTTAGTATTAAAAGAACACATCTCGAAAATTGGGGTTTCTAAGTTTTTGACGGCTATGCTGACAAATGTGGCAGTCCTTGAGAGAGAAAATGCTGCTCGCGAGCTGCTTGATAACATCAAATGTAGAAAGATGGCCTATTTTGGACACCTAGTAAGGGGAGACCAATATAATATTCTTCAACTTATTATGACGGGTAAAATCGAAGGACGCAAAGGAATAGGTAGAAAGCTGGCCTGTTGGTTGAAGAATATCAGGAATAACTCTTTAGAATAGCTCGAGACAGAGACAGTTTCGCCATGTTAATCGCCAAGGGGATTTGATAGGGCACTTTAAAAAGAAGAAGTTTTTGGTATAAATCGGCACAAAACTACTAGTACTACAACTTGGCCTTGACAGAAATTGAAAACGGAAAATATATAGTAAGTCCCGATATAATGTGACCCTTTTATACTTCCCTCTCCGCTTACACATCTTCCCGCGAGATAGGCCCATTCAGTAAGGTGCCGATGTCTGTCGAAGGAGGTGTGTTAGTGAGCGCTCCCATTACGAGTTGAGCCCTTTTATTACAAAACTTGAGGTACCTGTTGTTTTATATTTTTTGTTTTATAAAGGCACATTAAGATTAAATACTGTACATTACTAAAACTTCTGAAAATTTATTTTTCTTCTTGTAGTTCCTTCTCCTATCGGAGGTTGACTATTATCACAGCTATCCGTACCTTATTGACGGCTGCTCTAAAAAGATCTACTGAGCTGCAACTATACCACTCTCTTAGGTTTCTCAGCCAGGAAATTCTTCGTCTTCCTATGGATCTTTTACCCTTGATTTTACCCTGCATTATGAGCCGAAAATTTATTGGTTTATTTAAAAAAGTTCTTTATATTACTAAAATTATTGTATGATATTTGGAACTATATCTAAAGGATTCTTGTTATTACAAAAATATCTGTTTGATTTACAATATCATTGAAAGGTAAATCCTTGTAATACTAAAATAATTCAACGAGTTTCTTAGTTGTGTCCATAAATTACAAAGCTTTTCGGTACTAAAGCCTTAATTATTATTATTACTTTCCAACAAGTATTAAATAAGAGGGTAACTATATTTTAAACTCTTACAGATACATTGCAAAATTGAAGAAATATGTCATCGCGATCGCGAAGAATTATAAACCTTCTTAATGTTTCACATCCACCTGATGAATGGGAAAACAGTTGCGATAAGGACCCAAACGTAAGTTTATAATTAACTAACATATAAACTACTTACATACTATTTTGCATTTTTAGGTCAGCAATGACGAAAAAGAAACCATCCCTTTAAGTTCATTAGAAAACTTTTTAAAGCAACAAGAAATAACCGATAATACTCTGCCATTACAAAATAATTCTTTGGTTGAGACTAACACTGTTACTGCAAAAACATCAAAACGTACGTCGAGATCGTCATCTAGTAGTTTCAATTTGTCTTCTAGCGTCAGCAGTGGCATTTCGTCATCTGCTAGCAGCAGCTCTTCCTCTTGATGTTGTTGACGGGAACAAGAACGATTTGTTTCCCATATCCTAAAAGATAAAAAAAAAGCTCAGCCTCAGTCTTTATCATCTAGAACTACTTCACCTTCAATACTAAAATCCGTAATTTTAACACCACGAACTCCAGCTGTACATTACCGTGTATCGCCAATGAATTCAGAAGAGAGTGATGATAATATAAGTATCAGTAAGCTGAGATCGAAGAAACGTAAAGCTGATCCTAGTAAATGGAAGAAAAATAACCAAAAGATAAAACGAAATGCAGGAAAACTATACATTTCTACTAAGACTAAAAACGTTGTTTCTGCGCGTCAAATGAAGAGTCCGTGCAATCAGAAATGCAGACTGAAATGCAGCGAAAATGTTGATGAGGCTAAAAGACTTCAACATTTCAAATGATTTTGGGCACTAGGAGATTTGCGGTTACAGCGTATGTTTATGGAAGCAAGAATGACTATAGTTGAACCTAAATACAAGTATTCAAACGCTCAACATCCCAGTGCACCAAATGCTGCTTTCTACTTGTATGATGATAATGCCAAAATCAGAGTCTGCAAAACATTTTTTATTAATACGTTGGGAATAACAAGTAAAATGATTCGCACAGTAAGATATAAGACTTCTTCTTCTTCGTCTAGCCATTCACGTCCACATCTGAACATAAGCCTCTTCAAGTCTTCCTTTCCATTGTTTTTTATTGTACGCTACTTGTAGCCAATTTTTCCCGGCAGTCCTTATCAGATCATCTGTCCATCTCATAGGAGGTCTGCCTCTGGATCTTTTGTGTTGATATGGTCTCCAGGTTAAAATTGATCTGTGCCATTTGTTTAGATCGCTCCTAGCTACATCTTCAGTGTATTCCCATTTCAACTTTAATGACTTTTGCAACACATCGGTGACTTTGGTTTTCTGTCTTATCCATGTGTTTGTTTTCTTCTCCTTAAGTGATATACCTAGCATTGCTCTCTCCATCGCGTGTTGAGTGACTCCAAGTATATTCATATTCCTTTTTGTGATTGTCCATGTTTCTGCCGCATAAGTTAATATCGGAATAATGCATTCATCAAAAACTTGAGATCTGAGATGTAATTGAATTTGTTCAAACAAATTTGATCAACAAATTCAATTAGATATAAGACTAATAATTGGAATTCTGTTGAAGAAGATAGAAGGGGCAAACTTAGTAAACATAGACGCGTGGATAACAATCTAAAAGAAGATATCATTAGATTTATTAATCTAATACCACGAATTAAATCGCATTATTTAAGAGCGTCAACCTCCAGAGAGTTTATAAGTGGATCGAAAAGTATTACTGACTTGTTTAGAGACTTTTAAGAAAAACAGAAGAATAATCTCCGAGATCCTGGAAAGTTTCATTTGTTTTATGAAATTTTTAATATCCATTTTAATTTGGGTTTTTTTCAACCCAAGAAAGATTAATGCGATTTTTGTTTACAGTACAATAACTCTTCTGCTAATCAGAGGTTTGCTCTCAAAGTCAAATATGATTCTCACCTAGAAGAAAAGGAATTAAGCCGAGCAGAAAAAAAATAATGATAAAATAACTATTGACAAATATAATTTATGCGTTTGCTACGATGTTCAAGCGATAATGCAAAGTCTCAACGAAACATCATCGTTTTATTATAAATTCAAATTAAATGGCTACAACTTTACTTTGACTGTGTTAAATAAATTACCAGAGAATGAAGAGGATTTTAAAAGCTATGGTGACGTGCATTGCTATTTCTGGAATGAGACCCAAGGAAAAAGAGGTGCAGAAAAAAGAGATTGGAAGTTGCGTTCTAGACTTTTTGAAGAAGGTTTGTGAGGATGATAGATAATTGACAGATAATTGTTGTGGCCAAAGCAAAAATAAATACATAGCTTCTTTATACATGTTTGCAGTCACTACTATAAAAAGCTTAAAGGGCATAACTCACAAATTCTTTTTAAAAGGTCGTACGCAAAATGAAGCCGACAATGTATACATGCTGATACAGAAACAAATATCAACAGATTTAAAAGCTGGTCCAATATTTACACCACTCCAATATACCACCGCAATTCAGAGAGCTAAGAAAACGGGGAAACCTTTTATCGTTCATACTTTGAATCATGATTTCTTTTACGACTTGAAATATTTCCAAGTCAAGTGGGGAAATAATTTCAACGTTGACAAAGAGAAGAATACCATCGTATGGAATCACATCAAAGTTATAAAATTTATGAAAGGGAACCCATTTTCTCTTCAATATAAGACATCATACAAAGCCGCGTTTAAACAAATCAATGAAACAAAAGAAAGAAAATATTTAATAATAAAGAAATATCCATTAAAACAGTTTATAGTGCGCCATTTGAGTTAAGCTTAAATAAGAAACAATATCTCAAAGAATTAATTTCTAAGAGACTTATTGACCCTTATCATGCCTGTTACTATAATAATATCGTCGCATTCTAACAACAACGTTGGAACTGCAAAAAATCAAAAGTATAAGTACTTATACATATTAAGCATTTTCATTAAAAATGGGATCAAAAAGAGAAAAATATCTATTTTAGCTGGCTTTAAACAGTGCCATTCATGAAAAGATGACAAATAATTTGGACAAAGTAGCAGACAATCAAGGTTTGTTCATGACTTTTTTTATATAATTATACACTATTTTAAGCAAATTAAGTGTTGTTATTTTTAATGTAATATAATTTAAAACAGTTTTTAAAATAAAACAAAAGTATTACAGTAATGTAAACAACAACGTCAAATTTGCCCCACCCGACGATGTTGAACGGAAAAGATATTTATGGAATGTCCCGTGAATTTTAACAATGTTTTTAAACGTAAGAAGATGTTTATTAATGCGTAGCAAAAGTATTATGTGACAGATACTACTAATTTAACTGAAAAACAAAATATGCTTATTGTTGTAACTGACACATCCGACGTTATTGAAAGCACTTTTATTTTGATACTTTGTTGTATGTGGTAAATCCAACATTGTTAAATGCTTAAAAAAAGTATGCTACATTCTTGAATGTGTAAAAATTAATTTGTAAAGGTTGCAGCTTGTTATTTATTAATTTTTAAATTTTAGATAAACCCACATTTGTTATTACAGCTACTGGTACACCTTATCCCTTAGAACTTGCAAATCAAGGCTTTGACAAAGAAATTATTAACATAGTGAACAATGAGACCCCTGCACCAATTGAAGTTTGTACCATACTTCCAGAACATAATGATTCTGAGTCAACTATATTACAAGAACAGCTATTGCTACCACTGCTGAAAGCAAATGACGAAGAGGGTAAGGTTAAGTATATTTGTGTTATTTGCTACCGCTAGATTGTTTGTTTAAAATTTTAGAAATACATTTTATTTACGTTACAGATACCGCTGAATCGTTGCCATCAGAATTTACACATTGAATTGTTAAAAAAACTACTTGCAGTAAACAATACGTCCCCTGCACTAGTTAAAGCAACAATCAGTCTTTCTCAAGAAATCGATATCATAGATAAATCGTATCGTGTTACTGTATCTTCCGAAGGATTGTCAACGCCATCATCAGTTTTAATAGTAATCCTTATCGCCATCCTTAAGTTTAGCCACGTCATCTAGTATAAGTAGTCGTAAGCGTAAGTCAGCAGTGAAAAAATATACAGGAGATAAGAGACTTATTCACAAGGATCAGTGGGGAAAGATTCAACGAAAGAGTAAGAAAAATATTAGAAAATAGTTTATTAATCAGAGGGGAAAAATTTAAGAAAAAGTAATAAAAAATCCATACTTATGTCGTTTGAAGTATTTTCACATAGGAGATCGCCACAAGCTGTGAGAATTTGTGTTGAAATATACTACCAGAGAAGCCAAAAGACGAGTTACAACAGATAATATTCGTCATAAAAGAGAATATACCTTTAAGTATTTTTTACCTAAGAAACTCAACGAAGAACAAAATGACTCTAATTCTCTTACCGCTTATCAATCTAGTAACGTCTGCAAAATAATGTTCCTAAATACTTTTGAGCGTATTGTTAAAACTTGTACAAGTGAGCGTATTGTTAAAATGGCGTCGCAAAAATATGACGGTTGTGGTGTTGCAGAAAAGGACCTGAGGGGTCTCTATATTCACAAAAAGATGATTAATAAAAGTATATTAAGGAGAGTCTGTGATCACGTAAACTCATTTGCACCCATTTAAGCTCATTACGTGAGAAAAAAGTCAACTAAGCTTGATCTAGAGGAAGGTTTAAGGATGGCCAGGATGTTTAATTTTTATTTGGAATAATATGACTCATCCTAACATGGACAAAAATGTGAAACCTTACGTGAATACCGTGACATAGTAAATTCTAAATTTAATTTGTGATTTCATTGCCCTAAAAAAATTGTTGTCCTCAGTGTTATATTTTAAAAAACACAACAAATCCTACTTTTGAAAAACAAAAAAAAATATCTTGAACATCAACAGAACAAACAAATAGCTCGAGATCTTAAACATAAAGACAAAAGTAAAGCCTTTAATTCTTGCGGAAGTATTCTAGCTGCCACTTTTAATTTTCAGAAAGTGCTACCCTCTCCGTTCGGAAAAGTTATTTTTTTACCGTAAGAGAAAGCTTTCTAATTTTAGTTTTACCGTTTACAACCTTGCCACCAAATCCGCCATTTGTTATATGTGGCACGAGGGTATTGCTGACAGAGGCGCTAATGAGGTTGCGAGTTGTTTCTTTGATTTCATGAAACAAAATTTGGGGTTAAGGAATTTCGATTCTGATCTGATAATTGTGGAGGCCAGAACAGAAACCGGATTGTTTTCTCCACTTATCTCTCTGCAGCTAAACAATTGAAAGCATCAATTTTTCATAGATTTTTAGAGAAAGGCCATACGCAAACTGAATGGCACACTATGATAAGGTGGGCAGAAACTTCCGGAGACCCATATATTGTAAAAGAGATGGCCAGTAACAATTTTAAAAATTATAAAGCATTGCTGGGTAAAAAAAGGACCACAAACATTAACAAAGATAAAAGTCAGTTGGTGTAAAATTTGCGTTCTTCCCAACTACACTGATCGTTTTGACTATAAATATGAGTTGAATAGTGCATACAAAAAATGTAGTGACTAGAGAAAGTACTGGAAATGCTCATAATACAGAGGTAGCATTAGAAGATTGTTATGATGGATTTAGACCTATTTCTTTGGACAAATTTAAGGACCTAAACCAGTTATGTGCCACTGAAATTACTCCACAGCGATACCACAACTTTTACAAAAATCTTAAACACCGTAATAATAATAATAATATGTCTGATAATAACAGTTCAGAATAAATGCTAACTTATGTGCTATTAGAATTTAGTATTTATATACCTTTGTGCAATGCAGTTTTAGTTTTTTTATTAAAATGATCTTTTTTACTTTTTCTACCAATTTTTTATGTAGGTACTTTAATAATAAAATGTTTATTGTTTTAAAAAAAATTTAAATCCCATGTTTTAATTGTTATGTAAAATTAAAAATACCAAACGTTGTAATAAGTTTTTTTTATGTCCATTTTATTTAGAGATTACATTATGACACGACTACCCGAAAACCTTTAAAACAGATTGAAACTCAATGCGACATTAGTATGTAGTAATTTGGTTAAAAGTTACATACGACATATTATTTAAATTAAATGTTAGTGCACCAAAGTCGCACGTGTCGCATACGACAATATATTCCAATAATGCTCCATGCAACAATGTAGGATTTGTCACATCCGACACTAATGCTTCTGCACGGTTTTTTCAACAACGTCGGAAGTGAATTTTCAGAAAATTTATTGTTAAATAGAAAAAAAAAATTGGCAATGATTTAAAGTATACCTTATTAAACAGGTATGTCCAAATTTGTAGTTCTTAGGGATGGATTATTAAATGATTTTTATATTGTAATGCAAATTGGAAACTTCAAATGGCCCTCCTGTAAAGTTAACATTTTACAGATTCAAAGTTGTTGTTAGGATACGTTGTTAATGTAACTGTTTATGTCTAATTGTAAATTTTAATACTTTGTTTTATTTTTGAAATGTTTTATGACTATTACTAAAAACTTAAGCTTGCTAGCTATTTTATATTTCACTAGTTCTTTAGGTACTATTCTAGTCGTTAGCTATTCTATACTATTTAAACATGACTGATTGTAAAAAATGATTATGATAGATCTTAAGCGCTCGCACAAAAGAAGAATGATTTTGTGTTGAGAAAATTTATTAATTTTTTGTGTCTAGTAAATTCAGTAATATTTGGTGAGAACTATTTTAGTTTTGTGTTACATTGTAAACGTTAAGACAATTCTGGTTTTTTTATATGACTGAACTAAAAAGAGTGTTATAGTTTTTGTTATTGGATTTATTTGCTATATGACTATTACTTTTTAAGGTTTTTGAGAATAAAGATATTTTTTGTTAATCTTTTACGATTAAATGTTTTATTAATTCCTTTACAAGAGGCACTTTTATCATTAAAAGTAGTTAAACATTATTATTAAACAGCCATATTTAGAATTGTTTTGCAAGCGTACTAAGCGTAGTATATCTTTATTCATTAAAAGGCTTAATTCGTAAGAAGCATTTAAAGTTTAAAGAAATTTAGTGGGAGAGGGGCCTATCTTGGGAGAGATTTTTGAAACGTTTTCTTTTAATTAAATGAATTTTTTTGTAATATGTCGATTATTCAGTATAGAGTACAAATACTGTAAATTGTATACTCAGATATTTATTTATCTATCTTTTCAAATAAAAATGTTATAGGTGAATAAATGAAAACGATGTAGTTGCTCAATCTTTAATCTCGTTTTCCCAAAAGTAACGATTTTCGAGATGTGCCCTTTTAATACTAAGGGTGCGATATATGAACTTGCTCCTTGAGTAATAATACGTCCAAATATACAGTTGCTTAAAATCTATAAGCAAAAAAAGGATACTCGAAATTAGGCGCCTTTCCTCTACTATTAAACAATTTCTTTGATTTTTTATGACCAATGTTTTAGAGCTCGTAAACATGTACTTATTAAATAATATCTGTCGTATTTAATTTTTTTTTTCTATACTCTTTAATAATTTTTTTTTTGTATTTGCTACAAAGAAAACTCCATTAAATTTTCTGAATTACATTCGTTATAAGGTCCTTCAAAGTCAATAACTTTGTGCTTTAGTTTCTGCAGAAAACATTTTTAATTACATCAAAATCAGACGTATACGATTTTGAGTCTGGCAATTCTCTTTCATAATTGCTGACAAAAAAATTTAATAACTTGATTCCCGTAGAGACAGTTTGTCATCCTTGTTAAAAAATAGAGTTTTTAATGAATGTAAAATATGAATTTCAAGTTTAATTTACGATTACGATAAATCTTTTATCTCATAAAAGTAATAAAAATGGTACATTTTGAAAATTCATATTTATGAAACTAATTATTATACGATTGATAAAAACTTAAAAATATTTAACCGGTAACTCTACTAATACTTAACTAATAATAAGAAAAATATCTTCAAAATCGTGTTTTTAGGAATAAATAAGTGAAATTAAAACAAAATGAAAATCTTAATTTTTTTGTATACAAAAACGACTGGTGCATTTAATGGACTACTGGTAATAATATCATTAAGTTTTTTTAAAAGATTTCTTTAATTAATTGTACGAAGTGAATTTTTCTATTATATTTGTAATAAAATACCTCTTTTTATAAAAAAATACCATATTTAACAACAAATTTTACAACGTTTTAGCAACATTATCTTTTTAAATTATATCATATTGTGTATTTTAAATTATATCATATTTAACGGTTTTTGTTATTTGTTTGGATTTCTTGGACTGAGGAAAATTATGTTGTGGTTCTAATGTACTATAAAAATCGTCTGGGAAGCTCTAGAAGTGTTGCAAGGGAAATTTGGTCCATAATAAATGATGTTCGAAATAAAACTAACAAAGCTAGAAATATTTTCTCTTTTAAACCCTAAAAATCTAAATAAATACTTCGTTAATGTGAGTAAAAATATAACATCAGCTATTTTACTACAACAAGATCCTATTTTTTATCTTCCAAATTCGAAAAAGGTCTCAAATTCCTGCTATCTGACCTGATCCAAACAATGAGTACCACTTCTTCTTCTTTGAGTGCCTCTACTATCGGAGATTGGATATTATTATGGCGATTCTAATTTTGTTAACTGCTGTTTTGAATAATTCGTTAGTTGTACAGCCAAACCACTCTCTTAAATTTGTCATCCAGGACATTCTTCTACGGTCTGGATTTCTGCGTCCTTGGATCTTTCCTTGCATGATATTTTGTAGGAACGTGTACGTTTGTCTTCTCATCAGGTGGCCTAGGTATTCAAGTTTTCTTTTTTTATATTCACAATAACTGAGTACTCCC